GGCGACTGGTTCTTGCTTTTTGGCGTTTTTTAGTGCATGGTGCATACCCAGCCCCAGAAAATATGTTTCACAACTTTGTGAGATTTCATGAAATATCTCACGGAAATTTTCAATACTTCATATTTTTCATTTCACCCGTGCAACCCTGATCTTAATAAATATTTTTGTCCATGAACAGAGGAGGTTGCATGCTTATATGCTTTAGGAACCTCAATTTTCTTGGGTGAAAGCCGAGTTGAATTGATGTTTGTAACTCCACTCGTGAGTACCATGAAATTTGTTACTTTACACGATTCAAATGCAGAACCTTTTGGACTAGAGTCGCTCAACGCTAAAAACCAAACTGGGCGGCCAAAAGAGAGTTGATCTGACAACTGGGATGTGAGAGAAAGACAGAGGAAGAGATTCAATATCAGAGTAGAGGGAGTGAGAAAATGAAGCGGATTTGTCGGCTGGGATCTTAATGCCCGGCAGTTTAAGCTAAATTGCTTTATTAAGCACCCGTTCAGGGGCCCGCGCTAGCCCAGTTAAGCTTTCAGTTGAAAGAACATTTCCTATTAATATGCCTGCAAGTGGAAGTGAACGCCAACAAAACCCATTGTTTTTGCCATTCAGGCTCAAGGTCTAGTCGATTTTATACTCATTTCCTTCTACCATACAATCTTATTTTTTCCAATTAACCTAGGCTCGAAAGAGACAAGCAAAACATTATAAATACAGGATACAGGATAAATACAGGATTTTATTTATAAAATTTATTCATAAATACAGGATTTTATGAATACATTTTATTCATAAAATCCTGTATTTATACTAGAATATAGTACTTCTGTTCCAGTTCTGTGGTACTTCTGTTCCAGTTGAGAATGGGCATGTAATTGGCCAGAAACGTCCTGGTTTGTTTTATGCCTCCGTAGCCTTGTATATCCATTTGTTTTTTGTATTTTAATGTTTTTAATTGTTACTAGAAAAAATTGACTCTATATTCTATTTCATCTCCAAATGTGTGTGAAATAATTGGAAGACCGGGATAAGCTTTGAGTTGTCATATTCTGATTTTAATGAATTTACTGGTCCCAAAAGGCGAACATCGAGAAATTTTATGAATTTTCTACCTTATTTGTTTAAAGTATTTACACTTTTAGGGGACAGGGGCCTTTAGCGGCTGGGTGTGGCAGAGCGCCAAAAAGCGCTATGAATGCGGCTTTTATGTATGTATTTACTCTTTTGAAACCCTTTGATAAATGATTTTAAAAACGCCAAAACTTTAATAATTATTTGTATCTTGAAGGAATAAAGCTAGACAAATAAAGAAAAATTATAGAAAAAAGAATGATTGGAGAGAGATTACCAGAAAATCGAAAATAAAAATAAATAAAAGTTCGAAGCAGACACAAAATAAAAATAATCAAACAGAAAAAACAACTTAGCCCCGAGCCCTAACGTTTTAGGTAAAGTAGCGCCAACTACAGGTAGTGGCGTTGAGTCCTACAGCCTGTTGGACCTTATGAAGTTGTAGGGCTCAGCACTACTGCCGGTGGTAGGCGCTATTTTGTTCAAAGTGTTGGGGCTCAGCGCTAATTGTAAGTGTTTTTTACGCCGTGCAATACATAGAAAAGTATGCAAAAATAGAATAACATGTTAAAGAAGAAAGAAATAAAGGAAACGCTTTTTTTTTGAAAAAAAAAAAAAAATAATAATAATAATAAGAATAAGGTGAAAAAACAAAACGAAAAAAATTGGACTCATAAGCGAAAAGAAGGTCCTTCTGGCAAACTTTCCAAATATTCAAATCTTCAACATTTTTAATGTGAGTCATTTTTGAAAAGTTCGCAGCATATTTGAAGTCTACCGAAGGCTGATCTACTAATACATAGCTAGGGTTGGTCTATGATCTTGCTATTTACGCTCAATTTTAACTCGAGAATAGGATTCGAATACGCAACGCACGGTTTTCCGAGAGAACGTGAATATTTCTACGCTGTCACGCGAAAGCCCCAAGAGATGCGGAAATAGTGCGGAAAATGGTATTGGAACGGATCAAAGGAGTTGAGGTTTGATTTCCGGAGCGGGTTTCCATTTGATTTATTTTTTGTCTCACTCCCCATCAACCATCACACGGTCGGAATGCCCTGGTTTTTCTGCTGCCACTGTTATCTTGTTATATCGTTGGCACTGAGTACATCGTGACATAAATTGGGAGGCTTTTCTTTACAGCTTGAAGCTTGAAGCGTGCTTCGACTCAACTCGAGCCTTCACGGCTGTATTCTAGTTTACAGGGCATTATTCAAAATGTGACCTGCCACAGGGAACGGGACTTCCTTTCACAAGAACTAAAAGTTGAGTCGTTTATATCAGATTTGAGACCAAATCGGAGCAATGAGAATTCCTGAAAATGTGGAGTGATTTGGGACAAGTGACCTAATCCAAAAATTTAAAATTGACTTATTGATAAAGCTGCATAGGAGATTGAAATCTGGATATTTTGACGCAAGTTTGACCTTGGAAGCTTAAAAGTTGAGGAACACAAGACGTTTTGAAGCTCCAAGGCAAAGCATTCTAAGTTTTAGGTCAAATATTCAGGATACTATCTCAGGTTAATAATTTGAACATGCAAACGAAAAAACCATTTACGTAAAAGTTCAATTGGCCATGTTCAGGAGACATAATTACTGGTTAAAGAATCAACTTTTCGCCCCCTGCTGGCACAAAAATGAGCCAAGTATACGGGAAAATTGATCACAATATCCTCCTAGGGGGAGGGGGCGCCTAGAGGTGAGCGATAAGAGGGCAGCAAGGTTCAAGCAAATGTGACGTCAGCGTTTATGACAAAATACAATCTCGTTGATTTAAAAGCGCAGTATGTCTGAGAATGTCTGAAGAAAGAAGATTGACGAAAATGAAATACTACCATTTTTTTTTTTTTTTTTTTTTTTTTTTTTTTTTTTATTGTTTCTCAAACACTAGATATACATACAATGAACACTAATATTACAATGAACAAATCGTTATCATTTCTCTAACCTTATCTGTAACAAATATAACATCCAATATGATACTTAAACTAAGTATCTGTGATTCGAGACACGCCGGAATTACCAATCGGTACATCATCGGCGGGGGGGGGGGCAGTGGGTTAGCAACTGTTACTTTATTATTATATATTTTTTGCTTAGTAATTAAAATTCTCTGTATAAATTCACTTATCTGTTTCCATTTTAACTTATTCCCTGTCATTTCTTTTACGATGTTATCTGGAGTAAGTGTAATTCCAAGTTCTGTATCAATTTTATTTTTCTCACTTACAAATCTGGAGCACTCGAAGAAAGTATGTTCCGGCGTGTCTCGAACCCCAGTACAAAATTTACAATTAGCGCTAAATACTACCATTGTATATGTACTTTACTTGCAAAACAGTGAAACTTTAATGAGGACCCCCCCCCCCCTGCAGTGGATGCGCAGGTCGGTATCATTCGTTTTCTACTCGAAACAAATCGTCGCCCTCCTGACATAAAGACGCAACTACACTCTGCAATGAATCCCGTCATCCGTACAACTTAATGTTTTTCCGGGCTCATCTCAATGTGTAGTTGCGTCCTTATGTCAGCCAAGCGACGAGGAAAGATTCCGCACTCTGAAGTTCGTATTCGTGATCGCTTTGTTGCTACGAGCGACTCCATAACGCTCGAGTCCGTATGCCAGTGTATCGAGATAACATGACGTTGACATCATACACACAATACAACTTGAACAACAAGAATCAACCTCTGTTCAAACAGTTACCAATGACGCAAAAATACCGTCAATAATATTATCCGAAGTTCTAAAACATTCTGCCAAAAGACAGAGTTGCTTAATTGTATCTCATTTCATTACGAAATCTCTCAACTTAAAAACAGAATAACAAAAACAACGCGCGTGATTGACACAAAACTTATCGAGAATTACATGTATCAGGGCTTGCTGTCAATTCTATACAATCTACATCAAAACGAAATCGAAATCGTGCTCTTGCGGGAAATTTTAAACTTACCCCATTCACACTTCGTCATTTCTCTCGCAAAATAGCGTAATTACATGTATCAATATTGCCAGATTTTTCCGAGCAAATTGCATTTTTACCAGGAGACTTTTGAGAATATTTGACTGAAAGTTTCACTGATTTTCCTCCTGATCTCATGCGAAATTCAGACGATTTTCGACAAAAGTTGTGCAGCTTTCTTCTCGTGAAAAATGTCTGGTCTGAGCCAATGGACCACTGAACAAGGTAGGAAGTTAAGCATTCTGATACATGTTTCTTAACCAAAAATGTACGTAGAACACGATTCGTGCAACAAAAACTACTGAAATCGACTCCGAACCAAGACATTTAATATGTTTCTTGACGCGTGATTTCAAACCTCCCGCTCATGAAAACTCAAAAGTCGATGTGAATGAAATCGCAGACTTGACGTTACCGTGGCAGTCTCTGCGATACGTAAATATGGCAATCTCAATCCTGACGCTTTGGCTCAGCTATAACAAATTTTTTTACACTCAGAACAATAAATGGTGGGTAAGGAGGAATGTTAAATTGAGAAGCCTGCCAAATCCGTTGGATGGTGCGATTTGACTCACGTAGAGTAGTGAGTTTCTTGTGATGGGGCAATTGAAATTTCCTACAATGAATGTGAAATAAAAAGGGTAATATCATAGTGAAGAGTTGTTTTTAGTAAGTTTCGATGCAAGATTCGTGTTCTACGTGAAGTTCTGGTCAAGAAACATGTACCTATGAGAATGCTTGAATTCTTAGCTTGTCTAGTGGTCCATTTTGCAATCTTGGAATGGAGTTACGTTACTTGGTGCGGAAACGACGATTTGTGGGCATTGGTGGATCCAGCAAATTGGTAACATTGTTTTTCCTCCATTTAAACCTATGGAAATATATCGATTCTCGGAGGGGCCAGGTGCTCCGACATGAATCGATTCTTTAACATAGGTTTAAAGGGAGGAAACCCGGTGTTGCCAAATTGCTGGATCCGGTGTTGCCAAATTGCTGGATCCGCTTCTGTTGGCGGGGCGCGCTATGAAATGAAGCTGTCCCATCACTTGGTGCAAAACTATCATTGCTTCGAGAGCTAATCATAATCAAGTAGCTCTGCCTGTTCCAAAGCTAGCACCGCCTGCTGATAGGGGACTTTTGTTGAGATTAATCTGTCAAGTTCTTTGCGATACGAGTTGTTGCAGCCGGTCATTCGCGCCTGGACCCACTGCCACGCGCCAGTGTAACACGTACATGCTCCTCTTACACAATTTGCTTTCTTACTGCTAAGTTTGTTGCACCAACGAATTTTGATTTGAAAATACGATTTAATCGTCATCAAGTAATCGCAGTAAGTTTGGCACATCTCCTCCGCGGTCATCGTTTCGTCCGCTTTTCTCAAATACTCCTGAGGCAGCGCGCAAGGATCCATCATCTTATTCAAAAATAGTCTCGCGAGTTTATTCCATTGCTCCGCTTTCATGAGTCCACCTTGCTGGAAAAAAGGAAAGCACGGTGAACGTCGGAAAAAGTTTTGGCATTCAGCTCTTAGTTTTAGCACTGATCATAGAGATCGTAACAACGTCCTCCATCAGCTCAATGAGTCGAAAATTGGGAAAGAGATTGATTCAAATCTTTATTAAATAAGCCTTATTATCTCAAAATTTAAAAATACATAATAAAATCCCGAGACGTTTTGGCTCAAATCTGAGCCATTTTCTGTCGGAGAAATAGTAAAAAAAATTCGAAAATTTTTATTTTTTTTATACTTATTCCTCCGACTGAAAATGGCTCAATTTTGAGCCAAAATGTCTCACTGTTTTATTGTGTATTTTCAGCCTTGTTTCCTGTCTCCCCCTTGTTTTTTCATGTTACCATTGTCAAGGGCTGATGTGTAAACCTTTGTATCTATCCCAAAACTTCAGACCCTCTAATTTGGGAGCGAAGGTAGGCGGTCAAAGTTGAAACCTTCGAAGTTCATGAACATCCAATTTGCGCAAAAAATCATGTCAAATTATGTAATTTATAGAGATATCCACCGATTCCCATCATGAAGAAATGCTTTTCGCGTTACGTATATTAATATACCTATGAGTCGCTTTTTGGAACTACCTGGCGCTCTATGACACCAAACCAGTCTCCTATCCAAACATAACCCTGTGGGTATCAAGTACCCCAAAATTTCTGCATCAATCCATCCCTCCACCCTTTAAGGTTAATCTTCAGCGTTGGAGAACGTTAGTTCTGAAAAAATCCACCACGTTTCGCTGCTAAAATCTGACTCCGAAATTAGCGATTTTTTAAATATCAAGACAGAGATTATAAATTCTGCAGCTTATAAGTTCTGCAGCATATGTCTGGAATGTTTAAAGATTTACCCGTTTACAGAGCTTTTAAATTTTGGTCGTTACTTTCCTATTGAATATCGATTACTATAGATATATTAGAAATTTTAGAGTACATGCCCGGAAAACATGACACGGTAGATACAACGTAACAATAAAAACGTGAGAAACAAAGCTAAAACAACAAATCAACAGAGGACGTTACTATATAGATGAGAAACTTAATCTTACATTTCCGTTTGATGGAATGTGGAGATAATTGGACTGCATTTTGCAATTTGGAACTATAAATTTTGGCTCATATGAAAAAACACTCATATGCATTGGGAAACTAATGGCACACACATTGTTTTTAAACTGAGCTAGAATTTATAGTTCCAAATTGCAAAATGTAGTCCAATTGCTCTCGGGTTTGTAGGAAACTACAAGCTTGCCTTTTGTCGCGACGGTCATGATGGCGACAATAATCGTTGATGGGTCAGTTTTTATTTTATTGTATTTTTTTCTCAGTTAATATATTCCTTTGGTGTAACGCGTTACTGCATATATTGCTTTATAGAGTTCCACTTGAAGGACACCATTTTTTATCGGGGGTGATAAATAGAACCAAGGTGTTGTGGATATAATTCTATAATTACGAAAGTACCTTTCGGCTTACGCCATCATCAGAGCATTTACAAAACTTGAAACATAAACTTGGATGATGTCTTTTAATTTCAACACCATCACACACACATATATATATATATATATATATATATATATATATATATATATATGTGTGTGTGTGTGTGTGTGTGTGTGTGTGTGTGTGACGTAAAATATCGTAAAAATTTCTAGCTGTGATGATGTTTATCTTTCGAGTTTTGTGAATGCTCTGATGACGGCGTAGCCGAAAGGTACCTACTCTAGTAATTACAGAATTATTCCACTACGCCTTGGTTCTATTTATCACCTTCATTTCAGTAGATTGCTAGGTCATGATAACAGAGCTTACCATCCCTTGAATCTGGAAGGTCAACAAGGAATCCTTGAAAATCCTGAGCGTCTTGACAAACGTAGACAGCGTCCATAAGCAGGCCATTTCCACTTTGTAAATCACTACGGTATTCATGTATATTACTAATTCTATGATATCCTTCCGCGGGATCTTTAAGGCCTCCAGGGGCTGGAGCACGGCTAAAAGTCCCAGTAGACCATCTTGATTACCATAGGGCGCAAACATCGGGAAGTCAATGCCCTTTTTGTTCGGGTTCGGAAGGAATCCCACTCGCAGATCCGCTGGAAACTCTAACCCGCGGCGCACAAACTTCCCGCCCAGATGTAGATACGCCCATTTAGTCAGCATAGGCTTGAACACAACGTAGAAGCTGCCTTCGTGAGAGATTCGATGCCGAAGCATCATGTCCGTAACTTGCTTACACTGGATCGTGAACTGTAATTTTACCAGATCCAGAGAAATTAGAGACAATCCATTCTAGAGACTCCGTATATCAATACTCTGGGCGATGTAATCGGGTAAAACAAAAGTTAAGCTTGGAGGTTAGCACTCTTCCTCGCCTAATGATGGTTGAAAGCAAATTGTTGAGCATTGAATTTGCCCAATGATGAATGGTGAATGCCAGGGTGAACACTTTGCTGGGCGAGTTGTTGCAAAGGTTAGGTGGTCGGCATTTCTTGCCGGAAGCACACGCTGAATTTGGCAGCTGCGTATGGGAGTCAACAGTCATCGTTTAACAGCTGAACTTTCTTAAATTCGACTTATTTTCATCCAGATTCCTATCGAATCTATTCGAATGATTCAGAAAAATTGATAACTGCCGAGCTCCGATCCTAACCGATGCCCTGAATTTTGCGCATCCAGGCATCTTACCAACGACCTCCACATCCAAGCCACATTCAGCGTATGATTTCGGCGTCTGAACAAATTTCTTAACTCTTGACTCGTCAGTCATAATTGGACGTTCTATCAAACAGAACTGTGTGCATTAAGGCATGAGCCCTGATACCCTTAAGAATGTATGCATTGCAGGGCTCACGTCACAATGCACATAGTTCCGCTTAATAGAAATACGTCCAATTAATAGGCGAATCTGAGCGTTCCAGTGCTAACTTTTACTCTCAAGGAAGATAGCAGTGAGAAGTCTCTAAAATGTACGTATTTATTCTAAAAGGAAGTATGTAACACGTAAGCCCTGTGCATGTAGTTCCTTTTAGCATAAATACGTATATTTTACGTACATATTATTTATTATTATACGTAATATTTTTGGCGAGGGTGCGGTCAATGCAATTAGGAGCCACTATCGTATCATATATATAAGCTCCGAGACCTCCTACATTTGCGTATCGGGTAACGCTTAGCTCCAGCGTTCTACCGGACCGATTTTTATGATTTTTGCAGCTATCGACAGACAATTGTCTCTAAATGAGCCCGCTTTATTTAGATTTTGAAAATATGACCTAGATTTTTGTATATTACGTGGTAAAGTTGCGAATTCTCCCATTTAAAAAATGTAATTTTTCATATTTTGTCATAGTTCGTTTGAGCGTTCCAGTGGGCCAATTTCCATGATTTTTGCGGTTATCGACAGGCGATAATCCCTAAAAGAGTCCGCTGTAATCAGAATTTGAAAATAGGACCCAGGTTTTTTAATATTAGAGGAGCCCAAAAAGCTTAGAAAGGGGGGCAAAATTTTCGCGAATAAAAAATGGCGGGAATTTCAAATTTAGCGAAAAATTGAATAAAACGGGAAATGTTGAATCACGGTCTGTTAGTAGGGTAAGTGAATCAAAAGTATGCTCCTTTGCTACCGACTATCTAAAAGCGACGTAACGCTCCGTTCCGTTTCGTTTCAGTCTTGGCGTGAAGTTTGCAACAAGTGCCGATTTTTTCATTCGGTTCTTATTGGTCCAATAGCTCCCGGCCAGGGAAATATTGGATGAATGAGAGTCGATGATGAAAATCTTTTCATTTTTTTTGGTCGTTCCTCTGTCGACGCGGGCCCAAGAGAACGCGAAGCGTCCTCTGAGGGTAGGGCCGCGTAGCGGCCAGGAGGCATAGCCCGCTAGTAAATGACATCCGATTCTTAAGGGGAGAGATGACTTAGACATATGCCATTAAGTCCCATTAAAGTCGGTTTTTATTGAAGGAAATATGGCAACACCTGAATGCTCTTACGGCGTTCTTCCTTAGCACGGTAGTATAGGGGCAAAATTTTGAAATAGGGGACATTTCAGGATGGATTCTTTATCTTCTATTTATTTTTTTACAACGGAGAAACGTTTTTAAATATTTAATGATGTGTAAGTTCTTGAATAATGCTTTAACCTTCGAGCTGTAACAGTGCAAGCTAGGAACCATAGTGTCGGAATACGGGACGGTCGTGAGTTTTAGACCATTCAAACGGTAAAAAATTACCAAAAAAAACATGAATATTAGGAAATTTATTAACGTACGTTTTTAGAAAAAAGTGTTTCCCTCATATTTAGGCCAAAAAATAGGAGTAGAACATATTTATATGCTAATACGGCTTGATCACTAATGACATGATAAAAAACACTAGAAATCCCCTCACAAGTTTTGAAATTGTTCGTCTGAAGATCGCTGAACAGTCAGTTTCTCATTCTGCCACCAGGCTCTTCAATAATCTTCCCTTAAAATTAAGAAAACTACTGAAAGACTGGGAAGTTAACGCTTTTTTCAAGTAGTTGAAAACCTTATTAGTTTGCAGGGCATTTTATTCTCTAAATGATTTTTATAATGATGTTTAAAATGTGTATTCTGGGGGGCTTTTTACCGACAAGTATGCTTAAATACTATGTTTGTGTCATTTATGTACTCTTATGTAAATTAAATAATAAAAGACCAGGGACAAGAATGTCCCCTATTTCAAAATTTTGCCTATAGGGTGGCTCTGTTGCAAGGAAGAGACACAGCCAAGTGGAAAAAAAAAATCACCAAAAAATCAAACCCAATAACAAAGTGTTTGTATGGTTAACTAAGTACTTAAAGTATACTTACACGGGGCTTCACACGGTCATCACTCTTGTGCTGTTGGTTCCCACACTCGTACAAGGCATGTTTGGCACTCTCGATTTGTTGCCACTTAACATCCGAAAGATCGTCGTCCATTTCCAAGCTGTGCCTCTGCTCCAAGTAGAAAACAGCGTTGACTTCAAAAGTAACTGTACCCAAAAATAACAGTACGGGGACGAAAAGAAAGACGCGGTCAAAAGAGCCTAAGCCTTTGATTCTGAAGTTCATTTTTTGAAAATAAAAATTATTAAGAAGCCACTTTGAACGTACTGAGCAACAGTTGGAAAATGATAGATTTCCAGGTTTTGGAGAATCTCAGAGTTTGTGCGAACTAGACCAGAACTAATTGTCCTAAGAGAATCACTCTCCGGCATTAACGTTCGAATCGATTAACTGGTGCGACTGTGTAACATGATGATCACTACCCCCGATCAGTTCATTTGCTGCTATTCATGGTTCAATTAAAATCCTCGTCGATCTATAGTCACTAATAATGCACATTTTCCAAAACACGAACGGATCATAATCATAATGTAACGACTCCATCTTAAACAAAGTAATGTTCCCAAACGCGGAAGGATTAGTACCTAGAGATCACTCAGGAATAATGAACGATTTTGTAAAATTGGTTAGTGACGGATTAACTTTTCTTTATGGGCCAGAGATAAAGTGAACACTAAATGTAACGAATGAGGGCTGCGTATCGTTTGAATCAGCGCTCATCTCGCGCAAGGAAGGTTCGCATGCTACGTCACAAGCAACTTTTGCTTGACGTGCGCGGAGGCCTTTTTTCTAACCACTTCGTGTGAAAATGACGCATTTCTAGCCTTTTGCAGTGGCGTAGCGTGCTTTCCGATGTATCGATTGATCTGCAGTTTAGACCCGTGGAAAAGGATCGATTAACAGGGTGTTCGCAACGAACGCCGTAATAATTGATCCTGCACCGTAGCTAAATGAGGAAATATCGATAATCGATCATTCACGCCTCGATACTGCTGTGCTTTCGTCACACTGTAATTGATTTCTATCCCCTACCAGAGCAGCCCTATACCAAAAAAACGTCTGGTGATTGCGCAGAATGTGTGGCTTGTCATAGATACGTTTTAACTGATGAGAGATGGAGTGAGTGTGATATGAGTGCCTCTCGTATCGCACCTAACCGTCGCGTCACCAAGAAAAGAGAAACTTGTCATCAACAATTTTTCCAAAAAAGCATGTATCAAGTTCAAATTTACTCTTCGATTATCCGTATCCCTCGTCGTAAATCGTAAATTCCTCGCGTAATTCGTCGTTTTCCGACGAAAAAACGTAACTCCAATTATAAATTGTACAATTGGACTACATTTTGCAATTCGTAACTATAAATTTAGCCCGGTTTAAAAACAACGTATGTGCCATTAGTTTCCACATTCACATAAGTGTTTTTCTAGAAGAGCCAGAATTTATACATTTTATTTATGTAGTTCCAAATTACAAAATGCAGTTCAATTTATACTCGCAATGTGTAGTCGCATTCCTATTCGTGGTCGCACTCGCGTAGTTAAAACTCTGAACCTATCGGTAACTTTCCATTAAACGTCTCCTTGGATTTTCTGTAGAAGTCATACTTTTAAAAGAGCATTTGACTGAAACTACGCGGACTGCCGTGCGTGTAAGGATCATTGAAATCAATTTTGCAACCTTGAAATGGAGTTACGTGAAATCGTCTTGGAAACGACGAATACTAGAAAAAAATTAAATTGCTGATTTAACAATTCAATTGCTAAAAAAAGTGACTGCAATATTTCAACGTAGATTTCACCCAAAAAATGCTACTTTAGCCGTAAGCTAATTTATCCACGGGGGTGACTAAAGTAGCATTTTTTGGCTGTACAATCTACATTGAAACGTTGCAGTCACTTTTTTGGCAATGGAATTGTTAAATCAGCAATAAATTTAATTTTTTCCGTGCACTAATCGTGAAGGACCATTCGACTACTCCGTTGCGTCAAATCAATGATTCATCAAGTTGAGGAACGCTTCATGCTTCGTCGCATATTGATGACCAAAATGCGAAACAACGTATCTCCATTTGCAACTTTTCAGACTTCCTATCAAATTTTCTATTGGCGTAGGACAATTGACTTGACTTTTCCGCCCTGTTAGCAAAATATTCTAAATGAATTTAAAACTTGTTCCTTTTCGAAAAAATGAAATAGGAAGGGACATTTTGAAACACCGCTATGAAGATACGCGGTTTCGCACTGTGGCCTTCGATATTTTACTTCATCGAGTATTTATTCCTGTGTTCAAATTTTTCCGCGTTAAAATTCGCCGCGGGGCGTCGCCTTAGGACAGGAAAAAACTTTGACGCAAATTGAGAAAAAACCTCTCGATCTGCTCAAGCTGCGTGTGCGTCAACTTGGCCGCTTGAAAAGGTCTGCTTCCCGAGCTATACCGTCGAATTTCATTCGAGGCGCGTCAAAAGTATCCTTTGTATGATGTCATGTTGCAAAGCTTCTTTATCCTACCTTGATTACAATATAAACCATTGTGAGGCTTCCTTAGATAAGGAGCTGTTCAAGGAGCGACTACAAGTACGACCCTCCAAGCCTCCGTGTCTACAGAGAAAACACTTGTAAATGATTTTTTTTTATTTATTAATGTACGAACACATATAGAAATGACATAACAATCGCCAGACCTACAAAGGGCTTTATGAATGTTTCCTTATTCTAAATACAGGGTATAAAGATGAACACCGCTTTACGATCTTAAAATTATTGCAGTACAAGAGAAAATGAGATAAAAGATAGATTCACAGAATCATCCTGTCGGATTTTTAACTCTAGCAAACAGATACTTCCTCTTGATGCCCGAAAAAGACGTCTTTTCTCAAGGAGGGCGCAGAAACGTTCTTCCAAGCCTCCTTTCTTTCGAGCTAGACATTTATAATGGATATTGGATAATGGAATGTTTGGAAATTTTGCTTAATTTTTTTTTTTGCATTTTGCATGAGTATTTTGCGAAGTTTTGCTTCAACTGTACAAAATTTTAAATCTTCAACTTTTTTCGCCTCGGTAAAGAGGCTTTTAACAGAGCTGTTTCATATGTTGCAGGATGAAAGGGAGCCCGGAGGACAAACCAGACCCGGACTACATAAAAATGTTCGTTGGTCAGATCCCCCACTCGATGGACGAGGAGGATCTGACCAAAATGTTCTCAGAATTCGGCCGGGTCCATCAAATCAACGTTCACAGAGACAAAACCACTGGCCAAAGCAAAGGTTAGTCCCTTTTTTCTTGAAAATTCATCCAAGTGCCAAAAAACCTACCACCACTTCCTCTTGCGTTTTATTTCTTCAACCAAACTAATTTTAATGGTGACTTCTTGGAGCTTACAATGAAGTCTAGCTGAGCTCCAATACACTGTCACGGGTTTGTTGTTCGTTGTTTTCGAAAAAACGAGCGCCGTAAATCCATTTCAAATTCATCATTTCAGATTTTAGGTGTGCATTTTATGGGTGTGCATCGATTTACTTACTTTACTATTTTTCTTCCCGATGATTTTTTGTGATTCCTATGGGCGATGCGCATTTCGGATCCTTCCCTTAATCCATCTTCAGGCCACTATTATACCGCGTGTACAACGCGAATAATAAATAGTACTAACACGACCTGAAGGTGGATTAAGTGAAGGATCCGAGATGCGCATTACCTAAAATAATCACGATTATCAATCAGGAGAAAAAAAGTTAAGTAAGTTCATTATTTTCTATAATTCCCTCTTCTTTTTTCTCCCTCTCCTTCGAAGAAAACGCAATGAATGAAAAAAAGTATCTTAGATCCAGAGTCCAAACTCTTCAAAAATTTGACAAGGAAAATACTCTTGATTTAATCGGATTTTTGCTCGAATCAAAAGGAAATCCGCTGAAATTAGAGGCTTGGCTCTCGATTCAAGCAAAAGTCCGATTGAATTTTTGTTGTTGAACTTCCTAAGAGTCTGGATTCCAGACCTGGAGACTTTCTTCCAAAATGCGCCCAGCGGGAGCATACCTGCTTTCCAATGGGTTTTATTGATAAAGTCATTCTGGAAAGACGCACGTAATCGTTGTTTTTTTTTGGTATTTTTTTCTTTTCTTTTTTTTTCTTTTTTTTGAGACACAACTGTTCATATTCTTAAGATTTTTGCGTTTAGAACTCTTTTCACCGAGAGAAAAAGTTGACTTTATTTCGGAAACATTGCATAATAGTTGAATAGTTTTTTAATCTGTCACACTTTATCAGTATGATAGAAGACAGCGCACGCGAATTGAAATCGCCTTCATTTCAGGTGATACGATACGCACGACTTAGGCGCTCAATAAATTGTATGCTCAGCAGCAGTCTGTTTAAATGACTCTGTAGATTGCAAATTAAAGCTTATACCCAGAAGATTGACTTTTAGGTATGTCCTGAGAACGACCGAATAATTGGGTAAAAATTGGACATCGTAAAGTTGAAATGTACTAAGCCACACCAGCTATTGCCAAATTTGCTCGGACAGTCTAATTTTTCACATAAAAACTGTTTTACGAATTATTTTTGCAAATCTCAGTGAATTTTGTGTATAGCACGAAGCAGATTCCGTGGAAATTTTATAAAACCGCAGAAGCGTTCTCTTGTAAAACATGAATTTGCTCAATAAAATTTGGCAATAGCAATAGCTAATGTGGTTTGGTTCCTGTTTGCTAAACGCGGTCCAATCAGCATTTCTCCTCGTTTTGATTCAGACCGTCAATTTCGTAAGTCTAAAACAATAAATGCGGAAAAAAAAAATCTCCGACAGCGTCGGAATATTTTAACTTGGCATATGGACACAAACATGGACATACGCTCACAAAAAAGGGAAAAAGCCCCGGCCTGTTTTTCTGTTTGTTTGTCTTCTTTTCCTCTTCCCTTGACTATTTTTTGTGTTACAAAGTAGACCGCGAACGAAGTAAAGCTCTTGACGGGTTCCACCTTTTTATCCCCAGTCACTCTGTTTCCCGAGCCTCCCCATGACCCAAGAACCGCCTAACTCAGATATGAGAGCTTAGCGTCTACGGTGTTTTTCCTTAACGCGGCGGCATTCACCCCTGAATTAGTTCCTCTTTCATCTACCATTACCATTGATGTTCTGCGTATTAAGCCCTTATACAGACCGGGCTCCGAGCTCTTCAACACTCACCCCCCCCCCCCCCACTCCTTTCCTCCATCCGTGTTGGAGTTGATGTAATGCTGTTTGATACGGGTTTAACCTTATTTCCTCTCCTATCGGATCTGACCGAAGAGTAAGCAAGAACCGCATTTTGAGCGATAGGCGGAGCGGGCTCCGTGGTCGCCTACTTTAGCTTATCGGCGGATCCAGCAAATTGGCAACATTATTCTCTCCGTTTAAACCTATGGAAATGCATCGATTCTTGAAGGGCCAGGTGCTCCGACAAGAATCGACTATTTAACATAGGTTTAAATGGAGGAAATCCGGTGTTGCCAAATTGCTGAATCCGCCTATGCTTTCAGTGATGGCACGATGGTGTTGTTGATTCGTTGATGAATCCCGACTTTCCTCGCAAAAAGCTCTGCACTTTTATAATAAATTGAAAGGTTAGAAAGTTCGTCCGAATATAATCTTGAAATAGTTGGAGTTCAATTGATGGGTAAGGGTGTTGCAAATATTCGTCAAATTTTTGTTTAGATCACTATTGTAGTATCAATAGCTGAAGTCGGGAAATGCCTAACTCAGACTGAGACGTCCTAAATCTCCATTAATGTTTTATTTTTTAGAGGGAAATTGATGATCAGGCTCCCTTAAAATTCTCTGTACATTTTCTTCACTCATTTCGAAAAAAAGTCTTACATTTATTGCCAGGAACCATTGTCTTTGGTTTTAACCCACTTTTGCATCGATCTTTTACAGTCAAACACGTCCAATTTTGAGCGTTTAGTTACGAATACACTACGCTGCAGCACAGTAAAAGCACAAAATATAAAGAAAAATTAAAAAGCTTTGGAAATCATTAAATGAGACACAAAACCACCTTAATATTTTCAAAATACACGTCATATATTTCCTGTAATTCATTAATTTTTTTTTCATCAATTTAAATGAGACTAATACGTGCAGAGCGCGCACATATTTCAATATCATGAGTTGAAAAACGCTGACTCCCCGAGTGTATTTTGAGCGTAACACAGAGCGATATGCGCCCTGGCGCCTACAAACCTAAAGGGATACTTCACGCGTTGCGCAATGCGTGAAGTATCCCTGTTAGGTTTGTAGGCGCATATGCGCGTGTCACGCTGGTCGCCCGCCGCGTCGCGGAGTGCTACGGCGTTTCAAGCAACGATTTCGCGACATAGGTGTTGCACAGAATCACAGGCGCTCCAACGTATCAAGAATGACAAGCTTCCTTTAAGGGTACAGAACTTTCCTTGCAAAATTAATCAAGATACTACATTACAAAAAGAGAGTGGTAATCTAAGAAACTCACTTAGTCCTAGCATCCGTTTTAATAACGTTTAGCTAGCATAATTTTTGAATTTCAATAGAGAACAATGTGACTCGATTTAGGCAGAAACATTATTGAGTGTGCCGTCAAGAAAATTTTATTTTGAATCAAGAATAAAATAGCTGAATGAAAGCGGGTTTCTGCTTGGTCTAAGTGACTTTTCTTTTTATTTAAACATCCTTTTTTCTCTAAACAGGCATTATTTTCTTTATTGATTTATAAGGAAATCTTCTCGGCGGTATATTTGAGCATATTTCTGCTTGAATTAAGTCACTCTTTCCTTTAATTAAGTTCAAAAATCATGCTAAACGTTACTGGATCAGATACTTGGACTTAGCAAGTTTTTCGACTACAACCCCCTTTTTTTCGTCGTCACTCGATTTAATTTGTGAGGGAACTTCGTGCTTTTGAAAGATGCCATCAATCATGATACGTTGGAGTGCCTTCAATCTTGTATGATACTGTGCAACACCTTCATGGCGAAATAGTAGTCCGAAGCGCCGCGGCACGCCGGCGCTGTCGCGAAGTTATCGTACACAGGAAAAATCTAAGAGCCCTCAGCTGAGGAAAATCAAAAGGTTCATCCGATTCAGGTATAAGAAGATGGGATTTTCTTGAAAGATGATTAAGTCCTGTTGCACCAAAGAGGTGTAGAGAGTTTTAGTGAACTTTCCCTCATGGAATTAACGCCAAAATTCTCAATTATATATTAGTTTCCGTTTGGCCAACCAAACAAACAAAAAACGAGCAAACCCTCATTCTTCCAAGACATTATAGATTTCATCCAAAAACGTCGTGCGCAAATGTTATTTGTATATACATGTTGACCAATTAACTTTGGGTCTCAATAATTGGTAAGTGGACCAAAACTCCCCTTCCGAAAAAACGTGTGGACTTAAACTACTGGAAAAAACAAGTGTTCGGACAAAAAATCGTTGACGAAATGTCCTATAACCTTTGGTCCATCTCTTAGCGGTCGTCCAGGTGATCTTTTCCCTACAGGGGTTGTCCGGTCGTAAAAATTTTCGCTATTCCCTTCCACTTCGCAAATTTAAAAAATCGGCTTTTTCAGATTTAGGTCAAGTTGGACCGCGTTCAGCAGAAAGGAACCAAGCCACATCAGCTGTTGCCAAATTTTACCGGGCAATTTAATTTTTTAGGAGAGGACGTTTGTGCGGATTCCTTTGGAAATTTCAAGGAATTTGTTTCGTACTATGCAACGAATTCACCGAAATTAGCACAAAAATCCGCATAACCGTTTTCATGTTTAAAATTAAAATGTCCGATTAAAGGCAATAGTTGATGTGGCTTGGCTGCTTTCTGCTTTACGCGGTTCGGTTTTTTAGGGGCGTGATTTCCTCTCTTTCCCTCATCATCAGACAATCCTGCACGCAGACAACTCGGAGGAACAAGAATGATGTTGCATCACCGCGATTCGTTTATTTGATCGCCCCTGTTCCGTTTTGCCTCGCGCTCTTTATTAAAAGTTTTCCGAGGATGCCAGACCGCACGATCGTCTTGGACGCGGCCTCGCACCAAGTCGTGTGCACTTTTATCCGTAAATCTGGCAAGGTCGCGTTCGTCGTCAACGCACGGCACCTCGAGCCCCGGGCCGGACAACATCATTAGTTTTTACGAGGCGCCAAGACGATTTGGTAAACAAACTCCTCTTCATCCTCTCCGCCTTTTTGCGCTTCAGCCCCCGCACAACCCCCCCCCTCCCTCCCGGATCAACGGTATCTGCACTTTCGCAGCAG